AAAAGTTTTGTTCAATCATGAATAGTAGTGCGAGTCGAAAACAAGCGTTAAAGCCTTTAATATGTCTTCAAATATAAATAAACATCTCGTTGATATTTTCAGTAGTAAATGGTAGCAATAACAGCACATTTGAGCAACGCAATTGTAGTGGATAAAATGGTCAATTCTTCCGTGCAGTACTGTACGGATTCTACGCTCCTCACCGGTTAAGAGAGTTGTCTCCTTCCTTTTCTGGCCTAGTGTTGTTTTTTCTACTTTGTGCCGGTCAAACTGAAGGTCACATTGCTACAGAAAGTAGACGAAGTATAATCAGTAATGGAAACATTTTCCATTACCCATTATTTTTCTTTTCTTATTACTCGACATATAGAAATATTTCTATTACTCATTTGCAAGTTAAAAACCCTAAGCTGCATTCTTTAATGTAATATTTAATTATTCCTTTATTTTCATTTTCTCTCGAAACGTTTCTTGAGTTTATTGTTGGTTATAATCATTTTTATTTTTTTATTTGAAATATTACATTTTTGCTTGGGCGTATTATTTTCAAACTACTAAATTTATGCTAGAGCATTCATTATTACCTATGTAAATAACTTTCTAACATTTAAGCAACAGAAAAGAAAAATAAAGAATGCTAAATTTGCTTTTTATTTGGTGCAAATAAAAAAATACCTTTTTAACATTACTAAAATTCAGGAATTTCAATTTTAAATTTACTTTCAATAAAACCCAACTTTAGCTTGCTTTTTCCTTTTATTTATGTCTTCTAACTCCTCAAAAATTTAATTTACCTACAATTTGTCAAACCCTTAAATGAAGTCTTATTTCTGTAAAAATGGTTTACAAAAATATTACATTTACGTGCATTCGTTTTTTTTTCCCCTAAAGGGAACGGTCCTTTTCCATTTAATTCGATTTTGACAAGTTCACTAATCGAGGTTAATTTGAAATGATGGGTGATTGCAGATTAAAAGGGATATTCTTTAGGGCACATGAGTATTACGGTCTCTATTCAAATTTGCACATCACGCAGTGAGCAATTCAGTTCGCTTAGGAATTATTGAGCTAAAAACAGGGATTTACCTGAGAGTATTACTTTTCCGTGATTGAAATTAATGAAGATATTATTAAAATCGACGTTATCCAGGTCATTAGTAAATTTTGTGGATTTTGTTTAATGATACAATTAATCGTCTAAATAACGGAATTGTAATGAAGTACTTATAGATTACCATCCTAAGAATGTTACAATTTTAAATGAATCATTTTTTACATTTTTAAGGACTTTTAAAAAACAAAAACAGCACAACTCGGTTATAACGACATTATTTACAATGACAACTCTGATAGAATAACAGGTTTTATAAAAAAAATGTCTAAAAAACTTAGTTTTGAATCGATTGATGAAATTACATATGTTCCGTCCACCACATCCTATTTCTGAAGAAACACTAATCGAAGATATAGACAACTACATGAAGTAGAAATTGTAAAAAGATTTTTTTTAAACATTGTCATTGTATACATATGTACCTACATGCCAATTGTAGTGTTGTACTTGGACCTATATTCGACCATAATTCATTTTTTCAATTTCAAAGTCGGGTATGTACCTACCGCATGTATAAAAATTTGCTTACATGTATACACTATGTCTGATCAACTTTCCGGTAACCCCTGAAGGCACTGCAGAGTGCATGTAGCGATAGAGTACGCTACGTAGAGGATGTAAGAACTATGCACAGAATATACCCCAGTTAACGAGCAGTCAATAATCACCCGCCAGGTTTGCGAACGCGTTATCGCAAGCGTCAAGTGACGAAACACACGCACCTAGTAGTGACCTTCGCAGCAGCTGATACGGAAATAGGTCAAATGGCACTCTATAGTTACCGTTGGATTGGCAATGTTACTGCTATTACCAACAACAATAAGTTTATTTTAAAAATATCACACATCACACCTACCAGGATGTATCTCCGTTACTGTTGGGAATTGTATTGTTATCGTCTCCGTTTAAAATAACCGGCAGTGCATTTCTTCCTTGCCCGTGTTCGTGTAAGACATTCAACCGCAGCAGGTAGCGATCATTGCCGGAGCAGTTGGGGCTTTCGGTAAGATCACTACCTGCCCTTATGTATATGTACATCACTGGGTTGTGCGATATGGCTCATTCTGTCTCTTTTCATGTACCTGATTCTCCCTTAATTTTTCCGGAGTGCTGATCAGACATAGTGTATATACTTGTTATGACTTACACCTAAGATTTAAGGTCAGAAACATCGAAAAGGAAACAGCGATTGTAAACCACAGAAACGAAAATACTTCTGCACATATAATGAAAAAAGTTAGGAATAGATGTAAAAGAATCAAGCTATCCTGCAACGTCAACAACATTAATGATTGGCTCCGCTTCCCAAGAGACAATGGAGCTAACCCATAAGCCAAATGGTAGTAGACTGGTAAAAATCGCAACAGATAAATTCCCTACAGCAGAAGCCGGCCACGGAAAAGGTGGAGTGAATTAAGTCAAATCGAAGAAGGAATAGCTCACGGACCTATTATAGAAGGAAGAAGAATAAGAAATACAAGGAGATATACAGTAGAACCTCGATAAGATGAAGATCAAGGGAAACGTAAAATAATTTGAGTTATTGAGGTTTTTACATACTAAGGGTTTAAGTTGAAGCTTTTAAAATTATGGATTTTCAGTGACTTAGCAAACTCTTCAACTTTTTTTTTTTAGTATAAATCCACTAACACTAATGTTTTTATTTCTACACTGTCTAAACCATGGAAACAACAAGCATTTTTCTAAATTCGGAAATTCAGCAATTCTTCGTCTTTTACATATGAGACTTTCTCCCTATTCAAACCACTTTTCACTGCTTACTGAGGTGCGATGCCCAAATTATTCGTTTAAGTTATAGAGGGTTTTTATTTCAAGTAATAGAGGTTCTGGACTCCGAGGGAAAGGGAACACAAAATTTTATGAATTTGTAGAGGTTATTACGTTATCGAAGTTTAAGTTATCAAGGTTCTACTGGCCGGTGTCTAGGATGGCGCTATAACCGAGTTCTACTGTACTTAGTCTAATTACAATCGACATTTTGTATTTGGAGTGATTTCAACACTTTTGTGCGGTTATCACATGAACTTCATCCTAAAATGGTTTTATTTTAAACATATTAAAAGATTGTTGGTATACACACTATCTAACAAAAAATATCTATTAAGAATGTGAAGCTGAACTAAATTTTTTAATTGGCAGTTTCAGAAAATCTCAAGATCATCAACTTTTTGTAAAAATCTGTTCGTAATTAATGTGGTGATAAAACTACTGACCTGAGAGGTTTCATTCAATTTGGTAGAAGCTGGAACTGAAGGGGCTTTTTTGGGTAAATTATCAACTGAAGTGTTTTGTGCACGAATTAATAAATTATTCTGGACAACACTGGGTTGTGTTGCATCTTCTGACTTATTATTTGAACATGTGTCTTCACTTTCTCCCTCCTTATGTACAATAGCTGTTTCCTGGAATGTTTTCGAAACTTCTGGGCTTTCGCTTTTATCATTTCTTTTGGAATTGTCATCTTTTGAAATATTATTATTTACATTTTGATAAATATGTGACAATCTCCGTTGATGTTTTTTACATCTTGGGGCAGGCACAGGGCCCTTTTCTTTGGCATTTTCATTTGGAATGTCGTCATTGTTTGAATTTTGCTTTTGAAAGCCGGTGCTTTTAGTAGAAGCATGTTTCGTTAATTTTAGAGTTGAATTACTGAAGTAGCTTTTCGGCAAGGTGTACATAACCGATCTCTTTTTCCCATGCTTCTTGCAACGTAACGAATAAAACGTGGGCGAGTAGCACCTGTGTTTCCTTAAGTCTAATGATCCGAAACTGTAATTCGTTTTGAAAGATGAGTTTTTACTACTTCCAAGTCGTCGAAAAGATGGAGGCGGAGAAGTTGGCCGACGTTCTTCTTTTTCTTTGAAAGTATCTCGTAACGGTGAGGGCGCATCTTTCGAAAACATTTCTCTCGTATGGAAAAGTTGGGAGGATGTGTTCAGCAGCTGACTATTCGGGGAATAAAACGAAGACTTGCCCTCTTGTATGGCATTAATTGAAAAATTGATTTGCTGAGTAAAACTTTGAGATCTCATAACTTTCTGGTCGCGGATCGAATCTTGAAACCGAGACGAGATGGGTGTGAAGCTAAAAGATGCTAAAGTCGTCTGAGATGAATTTAGAAGATTTTGTTTCGATTCTTCTCTGTTTTCAAAAGACCTGTGTAAAATATTCCCTGACACGCGCTGCACTTTTTTCGACTTTATATTGTAATTGTTGGCATGTCGGTAAATTAATGCGGGTGGGTAATTTAAGTTGGCGTTGTACGCATTTTGCACGTTTTTGTTGTGAACCTCTTTCACAATTGGCATTATAACTGACACTGGCTGCAAACACAAAAACAAAACAAACGTTCATGCAAAAAAAGAAAAAACGGTGGCGCATGCAAAGCAAAAATAATGTTTTTTAATTTGTAAAAGGCAAACATACACATAATACCATTTTGAAAACAGAATTTATTATTTACCTATCAATAACAAGCCGATATTTCATGAAGTATTCTTTTATTATCAACAATGTTAAACATAATAGTTTATGGAAGCCTAGCATTATATTGTAGCCTTAAAGTTGCATTTCTAAACAACTATAATAATTTCAATATATATAGTATATATTTTTGTAAAGAATTCTGGATGGGAAGAGGAGTGAGACTGGGATGTAAATTATGTTATTTAGAAGAAACAATGAAAAGGGTGAATGAAGGAGTATTAGTCGTGGACGATATCATATGTAGATGATCTACAAAAATACCTGGAAATGAAAAGTTTACAGCTTAGTATTGAAAAAACAAAAATAATAGAATTTGGGTAAGTAAGAGGAAGAAAAGGGAAAGAAAAAAGGAGATAACATGGAAAGGCAAAATAACTGAGAGTTAAATAATTTAGCTATCTTGGTTATTTGTTATGCGAAAACAATAAAGATGAGATACACATAGAGAATTAAATGGTCAAAACAAATACAATTTTAGGAAGGAATTTGGGGAATTGGGCAAAAATTATGCAAAGTACGGAAGAATGACGTGAATTATTCAATACACGAATGAAAGGTGTATTATTGTATAGAGTAGAAATATGGGGATGGAAAATATAGGAAAGAAATTCATAAAGTGGATTTTAAACAAATAAAAAAGTACATCGGATTATATTCTAAGAAGGGAAGCGAAATGTGGTAAGGTGGTAGAAGAAACAAGAAAAAGAGTAGTAAGATACGAAGAAAAAATAAGAGGACTGCAGGAAGAAGAAATAAGAAGGAAGAAGAGATATGAAAAAAAAATTATTGAGAATTGGTTTGGAAAACAAATATGATAAGGAGAGAGAAAAAGCCCTAAAAGAGACAAGTCAGGAGCAACTAGAGGAGTGTAAGCGAGAAAGAATGGATATAGGGAACACGGAAATAAAAAGGAGTTACGAAATAACAAGAAGGGAAAACTTAAGGATTATACTGAAGTCGAAATATGCGAAAGAGTTGAAAGACAAAGGGATTTATTACCGGAATATTTGACAGACGCAAAGGATATAGCGGCAATTGCAAGATTTAGAATGGGAAATGAACATAATAAAAATAAGTACTGGATGAAAGAACAGGAAAGAAAATACAGAATATGTGGAAAAGGCAGCGAGACGTTAACACCTGTGTTAGAAGAGGGTGTAAAAGATAATAAAGATAAAACATATTATACACTACGGTTTGGTGCAGTTTGCAAATACTTTATGAAATTATGATGATTTTCAAAACCCTTTTCAGATTATTTTTTGAATTCTCGTATGTATCTATACAAAAAACAAAATAACGACCAAAAGCTTTTNTTAGGGCAATTTTCACAGAAGCAGGAAATATTTTCAAATGCACGTGACTGGACAAATATATTCCACCCACACTTTTTGAATTGCTTTATATTCAAAACCAAAAATTTAGAAGTGATCCCAAAAAATTATGACAGGTACATATTCTTATTAGGTACTAATAAGTAATGCTAACTAAAGGTATGTTGTATGTTGATATGACTTTAAGGTAAGTCAGCGTCAAGTGACGAAACATACGCACCTACTCGTGACCTTCGCAGCAGCTGGTACGGAAACTGGCCAAACAGCACTCCATAGTGGCAATGTTACTGCTTTTACCACAAAATGCAAGAATAAGTTTATTTCAAAAATATCTAGCAAAAAATTATGAATTTTTACGCAGAAAATGTGTACATGGAGCTCACGTATGCACTGGTGGTATTTTTGATAAACATTTTTTTATTAAAATGGGACACTTATAATATTAAACATATGCTGCTGTTGGTTTAGAAAACGGCATTAAGTTTAATGGTGTTTGGTGTGCATGTCTAAATTTGAACACCCAGTGATTTATTAAAGCGATTTTAGGCTTGGTAAGTATGGGTGACATCAATAGAAGTAATATGAGCTTTTATACGGGGGGAACACATGCCGCATGACAGTTCAGCAGTTTAGCTAGCTGAAAAAGAGGTAAGAGGAAGGGTTCAAAATTGGGTCACATTTGAGCGAAACATCTGCCGCTTGTACGAAAGGCCATTCTATTGATTGCTAGGTATTTAATAAATTCACGTTTAACTGATTTTTACGGCCATATTTTTCCCAATTAAACGCATACCGAGAACATAAAACCGACCGGAAATTCTATTTCATTAAATGGAACCTTCTTTTAACTGCTTCCGATTATTAATACATATACGTATGTACGACCGATATCCTTCGCTAGGAAGAAATTGACAATGGTCAGAAATATAAACTGTAATACTTAGAGAACATTCGTATGCCATAAACTACAAGTTTACATATTTCAGTGAGATTGGAAAAAAATGCCAATATCTGAACGACGATATTATTTGTAGTATTCCTGTAAGGATTTGGAGTTGTTTATGGCATTATTATTTCCAATGACCGATGTGGCTCTAATTATTTGACCCTTAAAGAAGACGCGATCGCCATCAGATTTTAAAAAAATTGTTTGATAGTTTGAACTATAAAAATGTTCTGACCGCTAGTTACAATTGGATGACTCCCACCATGGATGCTACCTTGAAACGATCAATCATCGACAATTTGTTAAAAATGGTTAAAAAGGTAAATAAGAATTGTACACAGAGCTTATGTCGAAAATGGAATAGATACGTTTTATTGCACTATAAAGCTAATTTCATCAAAATTACCTCTTCTATAATTACGGTCTTTTAAGTTTCCCAATAAGTTCTGAAAAGAACTCTTTCCACAGTTATAGATTTCTTTAAATTTCAACTTGAAAACTCTTCTTTTCTTATAAT